GAAAGGTATCTTTTAAAATACTAAATAAAACAGAATCATCAGTGAATAAATGGTTTAGGAACACAGATATATTTAATGAGGAGAGTATGGAAATTTACTTAAGAAAGACAGGGCCAGTATCCAAGTAAAAACTGTTAACTAGTTCTTTGATGACCAAACCAGTTGTCTCTTAAAAGCTTTACTTTCCAAATAACAAAAAAGAGAACACAAAGAAGAGATTGGTAAGTATTCAATTTAATGTCTCTTTGTGTTTAATGTCAATTCAATGTCTATTTAAATTTAATGTCAATTTATTGTCTATTTTGTGCTCTTTTCTCTAGTTCATTTTGTCTATTAAATTACTTGACCCTGCTGTTATTGCTGCCCGAAATCAGTAGAAAATCATTAGACTCCTTGTCTTTCCACAGATAACAAACCTGGCCTAGGCCTATACAGTTACCTAAATGCATCCCTGACCTTGTTCATAAAATAATTTTACAAAATGACTTTTTCATTGTATCCAAACATAACTAAAGGGATGGAGAAAATATTTCTTCTGTAAAAACTCCCTGAGCACTTGTCACAAGTACCGTGACAGTATTTGTTACAGGACAAATATTAGACTGCCCTTTTGACAGATGATTGTCTTTATTTTTGATAGTTCTGGAACCACGAAATTAGTTTTGAATAATTCTCACCTTGTCCACCTGTGTTTCATCTGTAATGTTTATTCTCCACCTCAAGATCTGATATTTCTGGTCTGTACAATCAAAAAAAAGGGGGAAAAGTTGAACAGTTGTCTGATATGTTTTGCAATAAGAGATAATCTAATGTTTTAATTGTTGCATATGTATTATTTGAGGTTTAGGAGGGGGAATATATACAGCTGTATTTGATCAGTCACAACATTGAGTGTGTTTTTCATAGACAGAGGAACAATTCTGTCCCAAAATTCTGAGCAATCCAGCCACTTGCCTCAGGGAAAACATATAATGGAACAAGATGACCTATTCTCATTTCACTTTTATACCAAATAAAAAGAATTCCACTTCTAAGGATTCCCTTCTACAATAGTATGATAAAGCTATCAATGATTCATACAGTAGACATAGGGTCTTATTTTAAAATGTTATACAATGTACAGGAGATTACAGAGGACATTTCTTCTAAGGTCACAGGGGGAAAATCTCTGAAGGCCACAAATTTCCCATGCAAATCTGGCATTTCACAGCATGGGTAGTTATAGAAGAATGCTCCAGGGAGTGTTAGCCTGGCATGTTTTTTCAACAAGAATTCAAGTACAATGCAAAATAATTTAAATATGATCTTTTGAAAGGGAAATGTTTTAAAACCAAAAATTCTATCTAGGTAGACACCAGTACCCTAGATATCTGAGAAGCATTATTAAATCAAGTCCATTAAATAGCAAAATCATGGGATACAACATTTGTGGTTATTTTTAGAAAATGTTGCTTTGATGGTTTGGTATTTTTCAGTAAACATGTATGTCCACACATGCATATATACACACACATATATATGTATCATCTTTTCATAGACCTAAACTGTCCTCTTGCAGATTAGCAGTAACATGCAAGGGATGGAACACAGCCAAAACAGAGGAAATTGTGGTGGTGGCAGCTGAGAAATAAATCAAGCTGTGTATGAAGCTTAGCGTCACCTCTAAATCTCTTTTCCCTAACCTGTGCAATTGTGCCAGTTTCACTAATGGTAGCCCTATCTCTATAAACATATTTTATCTCTTTAAAGGAAATGGAAGAGGATAGCCATGTCTAAAATAAGTGTGTGTCTAAGGCCATCAGCTGAGCATGCATGAAAGGTGAATAAGCTCTAAGCCTGGAAGCTTCTAAAATGGTTATAAGAATTTATACTAGTCCCTCAGTTGAAAAATGTATCACTTTCTCTCATGACTGAGGATTTGGTAATGTAGTGTTGCCCATTTGGAGATGCCTAGACCCAGACGTAGCATTAGAGATTGAGGAAGCTTTTAATAGTGAACAAGTTTTGTTACTTTTGCCATTGATGTGAGGAATTTAATTGCACAAGGGGATAAAAGCAATAGAAAAGAAAATCACCATTTGCATTGTCTTTACCCCTTACTTCAAATACTAGTGAAAAAAAATTTGTTCTAAAATTGCTTTATGATGCTATTGTAAAACCAGGATTATGGCCCATTTATGAAAGAAAAAATGAGTTGGAAATTAAGATGTAAATATTATTATTATATAGATAGGTAATCCAGGTAAATGCAGAAATGACCATCTTCAATTTTCCTTATGGGGTGTATGTGTGTGTGTGTGTGTGTGTGTGTGTGTGTGTACTCATAATACATAATACACATATTACCTCATTTACTGAAATAACTAACTTACTGAAATACCACAATTTTTTACCATAGTGAGGGTGACAGTCTAGAAGAATCTAGAAAAATATCACAAAAATGTGTTCATGATACATTGGTCACAACTGGCCCGTCTCTGGGTTTATCCCCTACCAACTGTCAATTTCCTTGTGAACTCTGATTAGATTATCTCCTAGAAAACTTTCCACAGTGTAGATCTTTAAATCAATCAGTACAAAGTTTCAAGTGTGGAAATTACCTTTCTATTATAGCTGAAAATTAATTTCTTCTTGCTTGACAGAAATGACATGCCCTAGTAATTTTCATATATTCTTTAAAATGGAACATCCAGGCTTCAATGCAAAATTTCCTAAAAATGACCAAAAAATACATCAAAACATTTCTATTAATTCATGAAATTAAGACTAGCTTTTCACATTTTCTCCTGTCACTGATCCCATTTGCCTTATTACTTTCATCTGTGGCCCACAAACTTGGTGGCACAATCAACAAACCCCTTAGTGGCTGTTTCATCTCTGCTCTATTTGATTTCTTCTCCCTGAGTAAATGATTAAGTTTTCATGCATTGGTTCAACCAAAATCTATGTTCACTCAACCACATCCTTTATTGATTACTTCTACTGCAAACAGTAGGCCAAGTGTGATATACATAATTGGACAGTTGTCAGGGGACGTGGGTGGTAACAGTCCTGTTTTCCCAGTTGGAAACTGGAATCACCTTGATACACAAATATTCTGCACTGTTTCATTCTCATTCTTTGGACCGAGGAGTCCTGTTCCTCAGAATATATGTTTTTAACTCTCTAAGGTCTGGTTGAATGAATTTAATGATTATACCATATAATATGCTGTTCAAGTTGCACCTGTGCACTGCATATAGAAAACTGGAATTAATATTTGTCTAACATTTTAACCTTGCCCTTGAACTTACACAAATATTCTGTAGCCCTTCTGTAGGAAAATATTTTATTTTTTTTCATCTTCCAGGGAAAGACTGACTTCTGTATCTATTGTTGCATTTCACATTTGGAAATCCTTTAACCAATATATATTGTGTATGTTTTCAGCTGCTGTATTACAAACCTTGCTTGCAGTCTGTAGAGTTGTGCATTTATTGAGTGTAGCATATCATTTATAATAGAAGGATGTTCCCCGAGTATTATATGTTAGAGCAAGTCCAGGATAATTCTGGATGTTTTGGAGGTCTGTTGCTCTTTGGGGAGAAAAGAAACCACTTGAATCACCCAGCAATATTTTTATTTACACAATTTTATATTTCTTGTTCACTGAACTTGGTCTTTGTTGCTGATTTTTTTGAGTTAACGGTCCTCAACAGGCCAAACCTAGTCTAAAATGTATTTCCTTCAAAAATATATCTGCTTTCAACACATGAACATAAATAAGCTTCTACATTTCAGATAAATAATATTATTATTAAATTTTTCCTAAATTTTAAAAGTGAAATGCAAAAATGTCTCCACTTCTCTTTTTTCTTGAAACAGCTTGAAAAGTTAATGTCAATTTGATAAAACATGTTACCTCTAGAAATTTATATTTGTTTTATTAATTTATATATTTGACTTTTATTTATTGACATTTTCTATCCTTGAATTGTCTCAATACTTTTTGGTTTGCACACAAAGCAAATATATCAATTAAAATAATTAGTGAACTCATTATATTTTACTCTATGCTTGCATTTGAGCAATTCCTCAAATAATTCATAACCTTTCTAGAGAACTGGCCTGTGGAAAATTAGTCACAATTTTGTTAAAAAATATAAGAATAGAATTATAGAAATCAATACTCACAAATTCAGGAAATATAAATTTCTACTTTATTTCTTATTTGCACAGCATTTTTTACCAACAAAAAGGAAGGAAAAATTCATTTTCTATACCTGATACCCATATTTAAAAAAAAAAAATTAGTTGACTCTAATCCCTAGAAAGTAAATGCCAGGATTTTACGTGTTGGTTTTCCAGATCATTTGTAAAAATAATAGTGTTCAGTTCACTGTATGATGAAAAGTTTTCAAAACATTATGCTTACCTACACTGAATTTTCTTTTCAAATTGTGCTAGACAGTATCAAGTAGATAGATGCTAATATGATAACCATTTATTTCGAGGATAGACCGTAATCATAATAGCAGCCTGGTATTTAATCCCTACTATTTGTCAGGCTTTATATTTGCACAAATTTTCATCTCACAGCAGTTTGTGGTCATTCTAAAAAACACATATTTTCTTCAGCTCACAACTGGGATGTGATCTAATTTATTCATCTGAAAGGCTGACGTGGATTCACACCTACATCTTTCTAACATCCCCTACAGCGCACTGTCACTTGCAAGTTATCTTATTTTATAAACATGTCACTGTTTATCTATGAAAATAAATGCTATTATCCAAATCTTGGAAGGTTATGCCACTTAATATCCCCAATTCTGCTGCTATGTGTTTCAAACAAACTCCCCTAAATATGCTTGCTGTCATATTTGTTTGACACATTCTTTTGAATAGCCCCAGTTGCAGCTCAGTGTTCATGAGTTAGGTGTGGGCTTTAGAAACAGCCGAAAGAATTTGAAGTCATATTTAGAAACCACAGTAAAAAATCTTGAGTGATCTCATTTTGTGAGAAAAATTCACTAAATTATGCATGTGTGCTTTATGAGACTGCTATGAAGAGGCATTCCAGTAACACCATCAACCTCATCATTAGATGTTATCCTCAACGATAAGCCCTTGGCAGGAACTGTCTTCCTCTGCAGGCTAAGGAAGATCTGGGAAATTGGAAAGGGGAGTCTGGGGTGTAGGAGGGATTTGGGTCAGAAATAGAGATTTGCCAGATATGTGTATCTAGGATTTAGGTTACACCACTAATAGCCATCCTCTGTGAGAGGCAGGAGGAGGAAGGTCCTAGCCAGAACTCTGGAAAGACACAGGTTTGGGTAGGCAGAGATCTCAAATTCATATGAGATCCAGAAAACAAGTAAGAGACACAAAAGAATTGAGGGACTTGAAGGAACCCAACAATGGCAAATACTGAGGATGGAAAAACATCTGGAGAAAGAGGAGACGGCTAACAGCAGTGAGTCAACCTATATTATGATGTGGGTGAAGGTGGAGGAAGAAGAAAGCCGTGGCTGGGGAATCAACAAGCACAGCAAACATTTTATGCAGCTCAGAATTCAAAGATGTCCCTCATGGTGTGTATTATAATTTTTCAAATTCGTATAAATGCAGCTGGATACAATGGTTACACGTGATTGTAATCCCAGCACTGAGAGAGGCTGAGGCAAGAGGATCACAAATTCCAGTCCTGCAAAGACAGCTTAGAGCCTGTCTCAAAATTATATAGAGCATGCAGCTCAGGGTCAGAATGCCCTGGGTTCAGTTCCCAGTACTAAAAAAAAAAAAAAAAAAAAAAAAATGGGGATAAATACTGGTAAATTTACCTCTCACATCCTTGATTTGTTCAAATACATATGCTTTAGGTTTCAAAGCACTGTCTATCGAGTATAGTGCCTATTACAACTAACTTCATGTAAGAATCTATACATCCATCTCTTCAAATTCACTATGAAACTCTGCAAGGGTGGTAACCATTTTCTTCAGACAATTAGCATATTTTAAGACATTTGCTGCATTCTGGAAGTTTTTTGATATTGGGGTCACTTTAGTCATGAGCTCCAAATGTCCATGTGGCTGAGATTTTCATGATATACCCTGAACTTCAACATCCACGTGTACTACATAAGCATTTCCCTTCTCAAATTTTCTACTATTCTTTCATTCAAAAATATATAAATGCCTAGTATGTGCCAAGCACTCTGCTGGAAATCATGTCCTCTGAGTATTTTGCCAGAATATATAACATGTGTGACTTTAGTGCCCTGAGATTTCACTGCTTCAGGGACCCTTATAAAAATAAACATTCATCTTTTATAAAATGTTTTAAGTTTCTTTTTAAAAGAAAACAGTTTCATTGAGATGTAATTCATATACCATACAATTCTCTCATTTAAAGCCTACAAATTCAGTGGTTTTAGTATAGTCACAGAGCTGTGTAACCATGACAACTATCTGATTTCCAGACTTTTCCTCACTCTAGAAAGAAACCTTATACTGATCATCAGTCACTCCCCATTCCCCACTCCTCTACCTCGAACAGCCCCTGACCTGCTGTCTGTCTCCATGGATTTGCATATCTTGGCTATGTCATTGTTATGGTTTGTGTCTGCATGTCCCCCCAAAGCCTCATGCATTTATGGAGCGGGCTTCTAGAATTTGTGATTGATCCATGATCCGATGCTGGGATTATGCATGTGAGTGCTACACCGCTGTCTGGCAGGAAGTTTGCATACAATGTAAGGGAGGGAAAGAGGCTGCTTGCCACCATTCCTCCCTCTTGTTTTGCTGTCTTCCGCCGCCATGAAGTGTTCTCCTCTGCCATGTGCCACCCTGCTTTGGAACCAGCTGAATATGGACTGAAACCTCCACAGACTGTGAACTAAATAAACCTTTCCTTCCTTAATATTGGGCATCAGGTATTTTGTCTCAGCAACGAGAGAAAAGTAACTAAGACAGTCATGTAAACAGAATCATATGGTCTCTCGTGTCTGGTTTCTTTCATTTAGTATGTTTTCAGGTTCCACCCGTGTTTTAACATATGTCAGTACTTTCTTCCTTTCTACAATTAAGCAATATTCTATTGTAAGAATATCCCACTTTGTTGACCCACTCATTGACTGATGGACCTTTGGGTTGTTTCCACTCCTTGACTATTGTAAATACTGTTGCTGTGAGAATTCCTGTACAAGGTTTTGTGTGGATATGTGTTTTCAATGCTCTTGGTTATATATTGTGAAGTTAAATTTCTAGGTTTTATGGTAACTATATAAAATTTTGGAGGAACTGCCAAACTGTTTGCCAAAGCAGCTATATCATCTTATATTCCCATTAACCATGTATGAAGGTTTAAAAGTTCAAAGGTTGTAACTCCAGAATACACAACATTGCTATGTGCGACTTAAATGACATAAGTTTTAACACATTAAGCCGGAGTTTTAACTCTGACAAAGAAGCCATATATTTGCTAATTTGGTATTTATTTTCATTATCCTGACAACCATCTCGCATTTGCCACAGCAATGGCACAAAATATCTTCTTTGCAGTGTGACACTAAGATGATATTGCAATGCTTTCCAATTTTATTTATTTCTAGCCAAGGAAAAATGACAGAAGCAATTAAATACTTGAAAAAAGTTGTGGAAATTGCAAGAAACAACTTTCAGAGCTTGGACATTGTGAGAGCGAGTACAAAGCTTGGGGACATCTATAATGAAAACGTGAGTACGTGTGTTTCTTATCATGGAGAAATCTGCAGTGTGAAAAGTCCACTCTCATTTGATCCTCATCTTCCCACAGTGTATTATGCAGAATGTCTGAGGGTGAGAAAGGAGTTAATTACAAGTCTAGGAGCAGGGAGAGAAACATCTCCCTCCTCTTCCTCTTCTTGGGGTCCCTTGGTGCTATCTGGGGCACAGACCTCAGGAGCTGTTAACCCTGATTCATAAATTCACAGTCAGTAAAGATTCCAAGTGACTTTGCATTTGAGGAGCAATTCAAATATTTAAATTCTAAGGAACTTTCCAGTAACAATTGGTTCTTCTCATATGAGTACCCTGAGATTCATCCCTCTTGCTCCAAACTCCTGTTTCATCAGTCCAGCTGTGATGTCCCATGCAGAGTTGCCCAGGAGAAGAAGTGACAACCCTAAGAATGATTTTTGAAGGGAATTTAAAGTGGAGTTTCAACAACAGTTTGGGTCTGTGGAAAAAAAAAAATAAAGAAGAGAAAAAAGTCTAAAATGAAATTAAGTAAAATTATCTCATTTAAGAAGCCATTATTGGTAAAAATGCACTGGTTGTAATGGATTTTTTACTTAACCCAATTTTGTCTCTTGTTAACTGTACTCTTCATGAGAAATTATATGAAAGAAGCCTATCTTGCTAGTTATAACTGGTGTTTTGATCATGTATAAGATCCATTTTTTTAGGGTAATTATGTTCTCTAACTTTGTTCATATACTCCATTTTAATTTCATCAAGAGGCTGTGCATATAGTGATTAAAAGTTCTAACTCTAAACCTGACTGCTCTTCACTTACAAGATCCGGGATCTGGAGCAAGTTGCTTATACTTTCAGGTGCCTCAAATACCTCACCTTTAAGGTGACTGTGAGTAATTAGTATACTTAAGCACCTGGAATAGTGCTTTCCAGTAAGTGCTATCTATGAAAGCATTAGCTGTTATTATTCTGTACACGTCTAGTGAGATAAATAATTGCTCTCTTCCAGACCCTTGGAGACCCCAGTCACACCAAGTCCCAATTCAAGGTGGCAGTAGCATTCAAACCCACACGCTTACTCACTGCATTGCTCTGTTATTTGTCATAAAGTTGACTTCATGTTGGAATGAGTTAGGATTTTTAAGGGAAGGAGTGAGAAATTAATTTGAATGAATGAGGCTAGTATTTCTTCAGACCCAGTCCTTGCAAACAAGGTGTGAGTTCTCTTTTCTCTCAACTCTCTCTTGCTCCCCCTGTCCCTTTGCCCCCTCTCTTTGCTGGGACCCACAGCACCCTGTCCCTCCATCTTTCCCATTGGCCATGTCCCCAGTCTCTGGCCTCCTCTTTCCTGGCCTCTGAACCTTGTTCTCTTACCCTCTCCCTCTTGTCTCCACTTTCCTCGCTTCATTTCCCATCTTCCTTCATGCCTTCCCTGTGTGCTGCCCCAGCTGCCCTCGGGTTCTTCCTTTGTCCTTGTTCCTTTGTCCTGCTGCCTCAGCTCCAGCCATCTGTGCAGGACCACCCTCTGCTCTCTCAGCCCTCGGGTTGATTTGTATTTGCTTTTGTTTACCTCTCAGGATACAGTAGTGTAAAAAACAATTTACACCCTTATGAGGCTTACAGTCTAGTGAAAACATCATGCCATGGCAGCAAAAATAACGTTCCTAATACATACAACAGATTTGTTTTTGAAGGGGTTGTTTTTCAGAACACAAATGTAAAAACACTAAATTATTTTATCCATGCCCCAAATCCAGCCCCTTATTATAACCTGAACTCTGAGTATCAGCCTTTATTATCCTAATTACAGAAAAATAGGGAAAATAATATGTGAGGGAGGGCAATATTTTTACACTTGCATTTTTGTTACTTGGACCAGTGTGTGTTTTATACTCTGATTTGTGATTCTTGGGAAAAAAATTAATATTCAAAACTGTGTCAAGGCTGAAAGTTAATTTTTATCAACCTCTTTCATATTTTAATAATAAATTTGAAGGATTTCAGATTTTCGTGCTACCTTCAAATATGTATATTACCAATGCACAAGTTCATCCACTGTAGTAATTCCTATAATAAATATTCACTCATAGATAATATAATTTTAAGTAGGTAATACCATAACAGTGTTTGTATATCAAACCCTTCAAAACAAAGCTTGGTTTGTTACTCCAATTATTAAAGTTATATTTCATTTTTGGACCTTAGCATTAAGCATTATTTCATGAACATTCTCTAAGTTAAAAAGGGTACTGATGTCTTTCCAGGCTGACTCTGAATTGTTAAATCATTACTAAGAGTTTGATTTAAAAGTATTAGGTACAACAAACTAGATTTATTAGAACAAGTGATGATTATTAATTTTCCTTCTCTTTTTAATATAGGGTAAGAACCTTGAGAACTTGAATTTTCTTTGAGTTGTACAAAGAATTTCCTAGGAAAATGTTAGCAACAGATGATTTTATGTCTCTGCTTTTCAGTATCTCATCAGTGTTCACTAACTATATCAGATGCCTTTATTCCAGTTCATAGCTAGACAATTTCATGAGGCATTTGCACCACAAGCTTTCCCAAGAACAAGCAAAGAGGAACTATCTTGGTTTTCGTCCACCTGAGTTTGAAGTGCGCCTTTTGAGTTTGAAGGATGAGTTTTTTCATCCTTCCATTGTCAATAACAAGATACCTTGAACACTAACTATGAAAGGATAAATTTTAAAATAATTATATGAATTGGGCATAGCAACACATTCACATAGTCCCAGCATTCTCAGATACTGAAGCAGGAGTGTCTCAAGTTTGAGTCCTCCCTGGGCAATGTAGCAAGACCCTGACTCAAAACTTTTAGGGATATATAGCTCAGTATGAAAACCCTGAGTTCAATCCTCAGGACCACACACACAAAACAAATTATATAGTACCTAGTAGAGCATTAGCATACAAAGAGTGATCAAGCGATTTCATTATGGTAAAAGATACATTGCCATTAATCTCCTCCAAAACGCTCCCCCTCTTTTCAAACACTGACCCCATTATTCTTGCAATTTTCTGAAGAAGTTCTGGAAGTCTCTTTCATGAGAGTCTTTACAAGGTGTGATTAAAAAAAAAATACAGTGAATGCTGCTGCCGAGTATCAGCCAAAGGAAAGGCAGATTCATATACACATTAATGGTTGGTGCAGCTTCTGGCTCTTTCCCCAAAGTCAAAACGGACAACAAAGGTAAATGTTTTGAATCAGTTCAAGACATCAAAGCAGCCACAACAGCACAGCTATAGATACTCAGAAAATAGAACTTTTGGAACTGTATCATTTACTGAAATAAATTTTTACAAATTTAAAATTTGCCATATTTTCTGATCACACTTTGTATATTGAATACAGTATAAGTTTTAGCTCCTTAGTACCTCAGGCTTTGATTGTCTCCCCTCAACTCCAGATTTATAATCAACTGGACACTTGCATTGAGTGAGTTTAAATATAACCCCCTAAAAACTAAACTCAAATTCTCTTAAATATATTTCTCTACCAAATCTGAATTTCTAATTCTGATCTCTTCTAGGGGTCAGGAAAGCTAACTACTTATTTAATGACTTCACCTGGATGTCTAATAGACCTCCAAAGCTTTATATAATGCCCCTTCCCTTGACCTACCATTCTCTAATCTTTCATATTTTGATAATTGACATAATTATCCCATAGCCCAGTTGATGAAATCAAACACCTGGATGTCCTTTTCCCCTGCTGCATATAACCCAGAAGCAAATCCTAACCTCTATGGCAACAAAATAGATTTCAGATCCACCAGCATCTCTTCTGTGTCTGTCTCTGCTACTATCAAATCGTTTTTTTGTTTTGTTTTGTTTTTTGTCTTTTTGAGACAGGGTCTCACTGTGCAGTTCAGGCTAGACCTGAGCTCACTTTGTAGCCCAGGCTGGTCTCAAACTCACAACAATCCTCCTGCCTCAGCATCCTGAGTGCTGGGATTACAAGCATGTGCCACCATACCTGGCTTATCACATCATCTTATGACACTATATTTTATCTCCTGGACTATTGTAGGAACCTCTACACTCATTTTCTTTGCACATACTGTTCTCCCATCTGTCTATCCTAATATCACTGGCTGTAACCCAATGTCTACAAGAGGTCAAATAATCCTTTTAAAATATAAATCAAATTGCATTATTTCTTTGCCTAAAACACTTGAATTACCTCTTGTTATGGTTTAGAACTAGTATGTCCCCTAAGAGTCTCATATGTCTGGAAGAGGGGTTTGGGGAAGGTGATTGGATCATGGGAGTGCTATACTCATCAGTAGATTAATCCATGGATGAGTTCCATGGATTGAGTATATTCATGGCTGAATAGACCATGGCTGGTTGAAGGACATGGGTCACTGGAGGCATGAATCAGAAAGGTTTATTTTGTCCCTAGTTTCTCCTCTTCTCTGTCTTCTGGATCCCATGGGCTGAGTAGCTTTGCTCCATGCTTCCCTTCCATCATGCTGTTTCTGCTTTGGAGCCAGCTGCCAAGGACTGAACCTTCTGAAACCATGAGCCAAAATAAAATTTTCCTCCTTTCGATTGAGGGTGTCATATAATGTGTCCCATCTATGAAAAAGCTGACTAATACAATTCCTATTCTTCTGAGAACATAAATATAAAACCTTGCTCTGTCCTGAAATATTCAATGGCTCTCACTCATCTCTCACCCCACTCCTTCCTACTATTTTCTATCCCCACTCCAGCACACCCAAAGTGACCTCTGTGGAGTTCTTCAAACATGCCACGCTAGTTCCTGCTTCAGGCATGTATGCACCTTGGATGGAGTGCTCTACATGCAGTGCTCTCTGATCTCAACTTCGCATTGCTGGCTTCCTGCCGTTCAGTTGCAGTGAAGTGCCACATTTTCCAGGGGGCTTAGAAACCACTTCAACATCACCCTGCCTTGCTGAGAACAGGGACCCAATCTGCCTGTTTACTCTTTTATTCTGATGCCTAGCAGTGTTCTTGGTACAGAATCAGCAAGCAAACACCTGTCAGGTCATTGAACTAATTTTGTAATCAATTTCAAACCAGTGGAGAGTAGTGTCCTCTCACTTTTCACACTCCAGACTCCTATTTCATTTTTGCTCAGTATTTTAACATTTTGAAAACTTATCCTAAGTTTGCAAAAGAAAATCTAGTATTGCTACTATTCATGAGTCTACCTATTAGACCTGCTATAAACCACCCTTGTTGTAGTTTATAGCCACTTCCTGGCTTTGTATTACTTTGATGTATTGCAATTGTACTCCTCACAATAATTTCCAAGAAATAATATAAGGCAAAAATTATGATCAAAATTGCACTTGGAAGAATATAAGAGCATCTTCTATGATTATTATAATGATAATTAAAATCAAATAATCAAAATTATAACATCTTAAAAATATCCTTTATCCTAGTTAGTTTACCTTTTACTATGTAATCTTGATAGACCATCCTTCACTCCCTAGGACGACCTTTTGATGGGGTGTTAATTGAAAATATATAATTAATATAAAATAGCCAAAAGAAGATGTTTTCAGGAAGATAATCACTACAGACCTTTTATAAGATTTGATATTCCTTAATAAGAGCTGAGAATAATCACATAGCTAAAAGAAAGGTGGTCCCAACACTAAAATAGTAGGAAAATGATTTATCATTAATACTGAGAAAATACCCATTTATTTTGAGCTTGCTTAGTTAGTATGACATTTTGGACATGAAGAAGGATCTGAAAAGAATCAGAATAACGCTTGAAAGTTCTATTATTATGTAATAATTCAAGCTTGGTTTCCACATCTGTGATGTCACTGAGATCCTCTTCTGGAATTATCCACTAAATGCTTATCGGGGTTATGTATAATATAAGCTGAAGGTGCCTTCTCCCAGTAAGATGTATCATAAAGTGTGTAAATCCACGTTCTATTTAAAACTCATATTTAAGATTGCTGGGGCTAATTTCTGGAATCTTCTGAATTTTGTAATAGAACGGAAATTATTTGATAACAGGAACTAACTATAGAATGTTGTCGGGAAATTTTACAGATTAAATTTAGATAATAAATTCAGGATTAAAAACTGAAAATGCAATACACGATAATGAATTCTCATTGCAAAAAGGTATGTATGAGAATTAAAATCTGAGTGTTAATATTGTATTTCCTTAGCAGTATTTTAAACTAGAAAAATGTATACTGACCTCTGTTTTGTGGTAGTTGTGTATGTGTCAAAGATGGAATTTTAGGAACAATCTGAAGGAAGAATAATTATTCAACTGTGGTCCTCCTATTTTAGGGAGGGAAGCACTTGTTAAATAAGATCCAATGAAAGTTTCAAGTATATCGCTGCTTCACCTAACAGCAAGTTCAGCAAGATGACTGTAAACTGCATTCATTGCTGAACCGCCACTGCCTGTGAGCTGAGTACATATTAGTTGCATAAATGAGTGAACCAACAAATGAATGAGTTAATTTAACATAACAATATAAAAATAATTCTTGAAATTCAAATATATGTCCATTTATTTATAGTCCAAATTTCTTAGTTGAAACTCTCACCTAAAACAAATAGCTTAAAGCTCATATATATAACTAGAACAGTTAGATAATTAAATTTATCAGCAAAGAATGGAGGAAATGCCAATAATCCCAGCACTCTGGTAGACTAAGCAAGAGGATTTCAAGTTCAGCTGCTGCTTGGGTAACTGAGCAACTTAACAAGATGTTTTCTCAAAACTAAAAATATTTTTTTTAAATAAGGCTAGGACAAAAGCTCTGGGCTCAATCCCTAGTATAGGAAAAAAAAATACTTATATTACCCTGTTTCTTAGAAAAAGGCAGTCATACATTTTCACATAGTTTTCCTATGTCTCTGATGTCTACTAGGATAATCTACAGTTTTAACTAGTTCATTTTCATCATCAGTAATATTTGTATCACTGCTCAGCCAGAGTTTACTTAACTGGCGTACACGTCTTTTGTTAGTTTTATTTTTTCCTAGTTAAGTAATCTTTTTCTCATGTAAATTTTGTTTAATAATTTGAAATAAAAGAATTGTTAACAGACAAAACCTTAACAGACAGAAGTTATTACTCATAAAACACAGAGGGACTCTGTTTAAATTAAATTTAGTTAGAAAGCATCATTGGCCTAAACAGTTCACTTTTGGCCATCCTTGTGTATGACACACGCTGCTTCATGTCCTGCTGGTTTAGGTTGCATAACTCACATATGATCTGTTTTATCCCCTCCTCGTCTTGCTAGCAAATTCTTTTTCAATCAGTTTGATTCCTACCTGAGCTCCAGGGAGATTTGCATTTAGCTGCACTAGTGAATGGTATAAAGCTGTTCCTATGGTGTTCCATGTCAATTTCCTTCATAAAACGTTGTCAGAAGATGACTTAAAAATCCATAGTAAATGCTGGGCATAGTGGTACATGTGGGTAATCCCAGCACTCAGGAGGCAAGAGGATCACAAGTTCGAGGCCATGCCAGGTACAAAGTCTGACCTAGACTACATAACAAGACTCTCAAACAACCAAAGCACAAATAAAAACTCATGGTAGAACAGTTTCTTATAAGGATTTCTTTCCTAAAGACTATTCATGCATGTTTTTGAATTTGTTTTTAAGTGAACATGTTTATGGGGAACAGTGTGAGAGCTGAACACATACAGGTAATATGTACTGTTCTGATCAGAGCAATAATTCCATCTGTTGATCATTACTTTGGTTTGGAGTATTTGAGCTGCTCCCACTCTGTGCTAGGGACCACTAGAAGTTACTACTTCTGTTTGTGTTTGGTACCATGCGTGTCTCTCTTTGTGTGCGTGGAACAAGGGAAATAGTGGAAATGATCCTGAAGAATCATAAGTCAGTGAAGAAAGGAAATTTTGTTCCCTAGAGTCTTTCCAAGTATATTTCGATGCTAGAAACAGTATCCTGCTTTAAGAAATAATTTTAGTGAGGATCTTCAGAAGACTTGGAGGTGCCAGAAGAGAGTCTTCTTTAAGACTTGATTTTATTATCAGTGAAATAAGACTACATTCTCCAGTGTGTGACTTGCAAAGGCTAATGACATAATAAAGTACTTGCCACTGGCCCTGATGGTTCACAAAAGCTATGTAAAGACTTTGGTGGGGAGCAGGAATGATAGCTTTTAGGAGAAGGGAGGGTGACCAAAACCAAACCACACCAAACAAACAGAAAAACCCCAAATCTTAAATTTTCACAATATGAAATATGACAATGAACTTAGTGAAGAGGTAGATACTTAAGTGATTTTTGTATTTGTGCTAGTGGCATTAAAATCTAGGTTACCTCAAAATTTTCTATGAAGAATGACAGGTACATGGTTGGATAGCAAGATCAGTAACAAAATTAGCTGATGGATATGTTTATATTCACTGGCCATTGTGTAAATGGGTTCTAAAAATGACTTTCTGAGCCTGAAAATAAAGGTAACTAAAAAATATTTCTTTAGATAAATACACTGATACAAGTGATAAAAATTCTACCCAAATCAATGAGATATCTCACTCTTTCCCTAATCTCTTTTCACTAGAATACCTTAGATTGAACCATGTGAAACTGACAATTTTTTGAGCACTTTTATCTAAAAGAACTTAAGTTTCATATAATTCAATCTAATAGGCACAGCTTTCTGCCTAATTAATTTCAAGAACTTGAAGAGCAAGCAATAATACTGTTAGAAAGAAGCCTGTTGTAATAGAGAGCTGGTTCATCACCCCTTTCTGCTTGAAGAATTGTTCAGAGGTCAGTGTATACCATAGCAGGTGAGCTGAGCAAACATGTGAACTGACAAAAGAAAATTAAGAAAAATATTTTGTGTCTTCCCTTATTAGGGACAGTACAACAAAGCTTCTGCGTATTTTCAGCAAGCTTTTGACACAACAGTAGAGCTAATGAACACGTGTCTGATGGAAGAAACACAAGTTCATTACGGAATAGCCAAAGCTCATCAGATGATGCTGGCAATGAATAATTATATAGAATCCCAAGACCTCTCCAGCCTGGACTACTTGCTGTCATGGAAGGAGTGCAGACGTGACACTGAACTTGATCTGGTTGTTGGTAAGGCTTTCAGTTTTGAAAACTCTCTTGTATCATTCTAATAGGTAAGTCCTATTCATTGGAAAAGTTGTTCCACCATTGACTTTCATTTGACTGGTAGTTTGTTTCTCATCAATTCTTTATTACATGAAGGTGGAATATACTTTTGTGCCAAGTTATACCTTCAACATTTAAGACACGCATAAATATAGCAGTAATGATTTCTCCTACCCGATAAATCTGATTTCTCCCCAGTCATCTCAAGTAGTCCATAATATGTACTGGTCAGTTGTAAGGAATGTGAAGTGTGTGTGCTTTTTAAAATGCTCAGTATCATATCATATAAGAACAGGGACAAAGGTTGAGAGATGTTCATTGAACAAGAGCAAATACTGATAGATGTATTAGACATTTATTTTACTGATAGAAATTAATTTTCCTATTCTTTTTTATCAATTTGAGCTTGAATATTAATTTAGAAAAGATTTGATATAATTTCCCGCAATAACTACTTTTATCCCTATATATTTTCTTATGAATAGTTACAGTTAAAATAGTCAAAAACAACAGCTAAAGGGACTAGAAGGATCAGCTCTGTGTGTCAACTTGATTAACTAATTCTGTTATTGTTTTTATTTTCCACAATACATACCTGTCGTTCTTCACTGAGCTGACACTGTGTGTCAGCTTGTTAGGTTCTCATCCTCAGCTAAGAACATTAAAATGGAGTATTCAAAAAATAAACAACAAAACAACAACAACCAAAAAACAAAGTACTGCCCATGATATACCTTCAGGTTACACAATTATCTGTTTTCAAATCAAACTTTTCAATGCAAAGATTTTGAAATATTTAAGCAGAGCTCCGTTAGAGACATGAGGCAAAATCTTTGTGATTCAAGCTTGCTTTCTCCTTCCTCAGTCATTTAGATAAGCCAATAATCCATTCTCGTATTGATTTTCTCCATAGAATAAACTAGTAAATAATAGTAAATGAGGCACAAAAAAAAAATTATTTACTTTAGAATGTAGTTTCTTCTCTCTGTTCCCAAAATGATTGTCATTCATTTCTCTCTATGACTTATCATCTGTCATATCCAGCATCCCGCCATGGCCATTTCTGGAATGCCTCAGTTGCTCAATTAAGAGTATCACTCTTTCACAGACACATCTTGATTCCTGGTATTTTCTACAAAAGACACAACATTTGACAACCAAACTCCCAATTAAATATTTATTGAGTTAAATATAATTCAAGACAAGTATATGTGCCCTGATCATAAACTCATTTGCCCGAACCATTTTTTAAAAACAAAATTCATAGTTTCCCTAGAAATCCTATGATCCCACACTGTATTTGGATTACCATCCAATTATCACATGAATGAAGAACGACACTCACCAAACATGATGTTGACAAAATGAAAAAATACAAAAATATTATTTGGAAACCTGAGTCGCTTTTAAGTTTTCAACTTTTGCCTTTCTTCTATGAAGAGGCATCTTTAATCTTGCTACCAAAGGGTCCCATGCATTCAGAAAAAAGCAGATCAAAGACCTGAAAGATACATTATAAAAGCTGTACAGTTCTCATCACCTCTGAGACTTCCGTCCTCCAAACAAATCATTAGCTTGGAGAGCAGGCAATATTCTTTTAAGCAGAGGAACATGACCCCCTAAGGGAATAAAGCAGTGAGAGCACTCAGGTCCCCAGATGAAATAGAACAGTGACTCACCAGCAAAACGCTCTCATCTCTACGCTTTTCAGAGGGAACCTGACACATACAGGCACCTTCTCACTCTGCTGACACTTACGCACGGTTCGAGTGACTCATATTTCTCCTTCCCTTCCCAGTATCAAAACAGGAAGAGATTCCTCTCCCAAATTTTAGGAATTTAGAAAAGAACTCAAATTTTTTGCACTTCAAAAAAATTATTCAAGCCTGAAGCAACTGAAAGTGGCTGGCTTTTAAGGCTTCAGGACCTATGAATTTCTGCTGATTTCTCCAGAGTATAGTTCGCCTTCCTTACTGGAACTATTATCTCTCCAATAAAGGAGGGGAAAAAATTTAAGTGGGAACGTCTAATTCATCTTGTCTTTTGGAGATCACAGAACCGGATGTGAAGCAGCAATACAAAAACAAATGTAGCAATGGAACCTAGACATGTAATAATAACCATTTAAAAGCCAACATTGTTAACCATGTCATTGATAATAATTATATCAGTAACATGACTTTAATGCACCTTGCTATTGTAGCCAAAGGTGAATTTTATCAGAGAAATAATATACAAACCCTGAGTAAAGGACTAGATGAAAATGCTGGCTTGTCAGTACTTGAAGATGTGTGAAATGCATGTAAAGGTTTACTTGAGTAGCAAAAATATCACCCTAGTTTTATGAATAATTTAATATTCTCAGAAGAAAATAGTCAAAACCACGACTGTCTCACAGCCCCTGGTTTCTGTTTCTTCACGTTACGCTAGGGGTTTAATGTCATGCCATTTCCCTACTATATTCTTTGGTTATGTTTTTCATTGGTGAACTCATCCTTGTAGTTAAAGAATGTGAAAAACCCACAGTCACAAGTGAATCTCTGTATTCTAAGCTTGGTCAGCTACTTCTATTTATTAAATAGTCTTAATAATGAGGAGGAAGGCATGGTATTAAATGAAAAGACAAGAGCAGGTTTCATCCATCCTGTCATCACACAGCAAATCTCTACCCTTCCTACAGTGTTCCAAAACATGACACAGAAAATGGTCCTGCACACACTATGACTGAATCAAAGCTCGCCTTCCTGGTAGTGTGGTGTCAGTGAGAGAAGCTATGACACAAGATCCTACTGATGTGGTGTCTAACACCGCAATGAGCACTCAACAGCTTCGTGATGTTCAGCAAAAGGTTTCAATTTGAGTTTTTTTAGGTTGTTACCTCACGTTCAACACAGATCAGTGATAGGTTCCTCTGGAACTGATCGTGCTTCCTCAGTAAGAGCATCTTCCTAAGTATTTTATAGTCTTTAAAAGTACAATATAGATTTCCATGGGCATTTTGTCAATCCCGCACTGCAAACATAGGTTTCTGAGGGCTTCCACAAAAGGAGATGCATTATTATTATTATCATTATCATTACATATCAAATAACTGTACAAATGCCAAGTCTAAGGAAATCTTTCTGCTAAAATGTAAAGACATTCTTAGCTCTCTTATATCATCAGCAACTTTTCTTTTCCTCAGTAGCACTGTTGAGGTTGCTAAACTGAGCAAATTATTTCATCTGCAGATTTTCAGGTCATCCTCCTGTTTCCAGTCTTGTGTCCTGCTTCTCCTCCATGTTTCCTCAGCCATCCCCTTCCCCTCCCCTCCTCTCCACTGTTGCTAGAACTCGCAGTTCGTGAATATGCGAGACTCTCTACTCAATGTGATTTTTTTTCTTCTTAAACTTCAGTTTGCAATGGCTCTGCTTCTAAATCCTTTACTTTTCCTACACTTTCTTTCCATCTTATGAAAATAAGTAAAATCTTCTTGATCTTTTTTTGAGTCTTGCAGAATCATGAAATGATTCAGTTGTATGGTATCAGAGAAATCCATTGGTCCATATCTTTATTTCCAAATGTCCTCAGGTGGGCCAGGGAAATAGCTCAGCAGCACAATTGCCTGTCTGGCAAGCATAAGGTCCTGAGTTTGATTCCTGGTACCAAAAAAAAAAAAATTCCAAATGTCCTCAGGCCCAGGGAAAGCCGGTCATATGATAATGCCCAAAGGACAAAATGGATCTATAATCCCAGTCTCTAATATTCCAGCCCAAGATTCTTTATATATGTTGCACTTTCTTACATATTATGGGCATTGCCTTAGTAGTGGGGAATAATTAGCTCTAGATGAAAGACTACTTTGGTGCAACATAACTAAACAGAAAAATAAGCACTAAAAAGATCAAACTTCTTTAAGTAACCTAACTGATAAGAACAAAACCCAAGAATAATAATAGGAGAAAAAAATACCTAGCAATTAAATGAAGTAAAATTTTCGATATCTGGAATGCAATCAAAATTACCTAGACATGTCAAGAGGCAGGAAAACATGACATACAACAAGGAGAAAATAAAGAGAAACTGACTCAAGAGTACATAAATGATATTATTGGCAGACAAAGACCAAAAGTATGCAGTTCATATCTTCAAAGACTTAGAGGAAAGGTTGAACTTGTAGAGTCAGGGAAGAAATTTTAGAAAGACCCAAATTGAATTTCTAGAAGAAAGAAATGAAATGGCCAAGATGAAAACAGCAGATTAGACAATGCAGAGAAAACAGTGAACTCGAAGACAGAGCCTTAGAAACTATCCAAACTGAAACGCAGAGATAAAATATTGAAGAAAAACAAATAGGGCCTGTCAGAGAACTGTGGATCAGCTGCAGAAAACTTAACAGGAATAAGTTGAAGAGCCATGGGGCGGGGAGGAATAAGAGGCAAGAGGAAAAAATTTTTTAAATAGTAGCGGTTTTTTCTGAATTTGATGAAAACGATGAAAGCAGACTTAAGAAGCTCAGTGGACACTGAGCAAAAAACAACAAAACACTAAACCAATCATAATCACAGGGCTTGAAAACCTGTGATAAGGAAACATCCTGGAAGCAGCCAGGGTGGCATTTGGTCAGAGAGGAAGGACACAGCACGTATACAGGAGCAAAGTTAGGAGCGGATCTCTCACTGGAAGCAGTACAAGCCAGAAGAGAGTGGAATGCCATATTTATTTAAAGTGTTGAAAGAAAAGAGAAACTGTAAGACCTAGAATTCTTTGCTCAGTGAAAATATCTTTCAAAATATCTTTTCAAAATAATAAACATTTTATTTCTAGGCACACAAAAGCTGAGAGAATTCATCCCTAACACACCTGTAGGAGAAATGTTAAAGAAAGTTCTTCAAACTGAAGGAAAATGAATCTAGGTAGAAATGTGGGCCTACACAAAGAAATGAAAACTAAAAATATGCCCCAGGCTGGGAGTGTACCTCAGT